GCCAAATAAGGTTTAACTTAGTAACTGTCGCATGGTTTGTTGCAACTCTGTCACTCATTGTGTTAGTTATGTTTCCAATAATAGTACTTCGCACGTCAGTGAATTGTAGCTGGTAGAAGTCACTATATAACTTGGCAAGATTATCAATAAATTTTGTAATGTGACTCTGATAGCTGTAAGCTGTACCTCCAGGAAGTTGATCAATTGCTACAACCATGTATCCTGATTCTGTTGTTAAGTGCACAACATTTAGATCACTCTTTTATGTTGTTGCATCAAAACCAACTGTCAGATTTTTTGTTCAAAAAGGTCAGCATTCAGTAAGTCTGAATTACACCTAGCTCATGCATCATTTGTTCCACAGTTGCGCTATGCAGAATGTGACTAAACTGATAGCCAGTGTGTTCTCCAATTTTACTGAGCAGAGTTGGCACACAAGCATGTCATATATAAGTGCTCTAATATCTGCTGAGTAGCATTTTTCATTTTTGGTGTTTTGTGTTATTTGTTGCATTTGCTCCACTTTTTTCTGTAAAATCAGTATGTTATTTTGCAGTAAAAGATTTTTAGAATTTTTATCAGCAAGTTGTTGGCTTAACATAGCCTTTTGATAAGATAAGTCACTTTGGGTAGATGTCAACTGTTGTTTCAAAAAAAAAATGTGATTTTGAAGTTTCTTTAACTCTAAATTCAAATACTTTTCCTTCAAATTTTTTCGAAGATGAAGGATTGTTGTTTCTTTGCAAGCAATAACCTGATTTAGATATTTAAATTGGTATGGTCGGGCCTTTGCCTTTTTTTTAAACTCTTTTAGATCCTCTTTATGTTTTTGTTTTTTTCTTTCCATTTCATTTGCCAAAACGGTTAACCTCTTTCGCAAAACTTTTTTCCTAGGGCTCAACTGATCAGCTCTCAACCTGGGTTGTATTGGTTTATGAGAAGAGGTTATGAAAGTGGGACCAGATAAAGAAGGAAATAAGTGATTAATATTTGATACAGATAAAACACTGTTGTGTTGAGAAGTTAAAATAGAACATGAAACAATGTTGCTTGAGTTTGTGGTTGAATGCAGTGATTGTGGCATAGCAGATATTGATTTTTGGTATGCAAAGAGCATGTTGCAGATATTAATAAATTGTTTAGAATCCCTTGAAAAATTACGTGCATAGAATTTGGATCTATTTACTAGTTGCACAATCTGACTTTTACATATTTTGCAATTAAAAAGTTTATTGACTATTTCAACAGTTTTTTTAAATGATTCATTGTTGGATATGAATATATTTAATATATGTCCATTTCTACATTCAATATTTAAATGAGTTGGCATTGTAAAGTTACAGGCTAAATAATTTTTTGCTTCACCATGAAAAAGATGATTCTTTTTAGGTCCCATAATGCTCTGAAAAAGAAATTTTAATAATCTTAATAATTATTTTATTGAATCAGCTTTAATAATTAATAGATCTTTTTTTTTTTAAATCTATATTATATGCAACAAATCACTAAAAAAAAATCATTAGAATCTTAAATAATATATATATATATATATATATATATATATATATATATATATATATATATATATATATATAAATATATATATATATATATATATATATATATATATATATATATATATACATATATATATATACATATATACATATATATATATATATATATATATATATATATATATACATATATATATATATATATATATATATATATATATATATATATATATATATATATATATATATATATATATATATATATATATATATATATATATATATATAAATGTATATATGTAAATGTATAATATGTATATATATATAAATGTATAGCTTTTTTTTTGTGTGTCTGTAAATGATGTTATGAATACTTTTAAAAAAATCAATAATATTTTTAATAAAGTTTCATTTTTCTAAAAAAACAACTTTTTAATAAATAAAAATGTTTAAATTTACAAAAAAAGTTCAAATATACAAAATTGTGAATACCCCCTCCCCCAATCTCTACAACAGAAGAGTATTTAGTACCTTTACTGCGTGCAAAAATAGTGTATGAACGTGTCATTATTTTTTTAATGAAATTTGGCAGGTACATAGAAAATAGATATACAAAATTGAATAAAAAGTTACAAAAAAAAAACCATCATACCTTCAATGTCAATTTACTTCCAGAATAGAAACGAAGCTTTCAATAGCAATGAAATCACTAAAAACATTAGTAACTGCAAAAAAAAAAAAAAAAAAAATTGCAATAAACTTACAACACTCTACTTTTAAAATATTATCTAAGTCAATATAAGAATTTAAAAAAAGACAACAAAACTCCATACTTACAACACCTCCTTTGAGCACGCGGTGAAAAAATGTTCACAGGTTTTATCTTTAAAATTTGTGCCGTAAATCGCAGATACGCACGTACCTACACGTACCTACACGTACCTACACGTACCTACACGTACCTACAAAATGCAATTTTCAAGTAAAAGTAAAACTATATAATTTTAACATAGTTTAAAGTTTACATAAGTTATTAATTTCCATACACTTTAGTTCACATTTTCTTATTTTAAAAAAAGTGCTGCGACTTTTTCTCGTCAGTAACTCAGGTGTAATGGCTGCTGTGAGTTCTATTTCAAACATTTACGAATGGCAGCATTAAATTTAGCATAATATATAACAGATTATAGGATATTGTCATATATTATAAACAAAATAAACTATATATTAATGATATACATAACTTATTGATCATTTCATAAAATTTATAAAACATTTTACAAAACTCACAAGAAATACTAAAACAAAACTCATGCAATAACCATTAATTTATTGGATTTTGCAAAAAAAAATGAAAAGTAATTATAACCTTACCATTTTACACCTTATAGAAATTGCTACCATTATTGATTTATAAGACTGGTGGCAATATATTTGATTTATGTAGAGTCAATAGAGTTGTAAAATATATTTATTATGAAAATGATTTATCTTCCAAATCCTTTTTAAAATCTGGTTTCTTTACTATAGATTATTTACTTATTTATTTATTATTTATTTGCTATTAAAAAAAGAATACAATGCCGTGTTATATAAATAAAATCTACATGACAGGAGCTAAAAGAAGACAATATTTGCCTTATTACTACACTCCGAAGTTTTTTTGTGTGTGTGTAAATCATGTTATAAATACTTAAAAAAAATCACCAATATTTTTAATAAAAAAAATAAGACAGGGTAGGTGTTGCCAATAAATGATATATAGAAACATAATCATTACAGTTTTGCAACTCATATTTTTTTGGATTATAGTAGGATGTTAGAAAACTTAAAAAATCTTTATTCAAAACATGTTACTAAAGGATAAACTTGTGCTTAAGTGTCTCATTTTGACCCTCAATACCCCACTGGATGCATAATAATTTTATTTTTTTAATTTTATTATTTTTAAACATACTGATAAGAAGTCTCAGATAAAATAAAAGTTATACAAGTAGAATTGGCTAATAATATAAGACTACTTTTTAGTGAGGAAAATCTTTAATCACTCTTCCAAAAGCAATTTCTCTCTTATTACATCAATTTGCTCTTGCTTAAAAAATTGCACAAAAAATTCAACAGGATTAAATCTAACATTTTTTTTAACCTTTTAAAAACTTCAATGATGGTTCTTCTTTTAAACTATTTTTGTACATTGTAGTCATTTAATGTATTTAATCAATTTTATTGATAATCAATTCAGCCGTTTTGTTAGGTTAGAGTTCTAGCTTTAGAATTTGTAGGTCCTTGGTTTGAAGCTGGCTTCGTTCATACATTTTATTTTTATTTTATTAGTTATTTTGTTATAGAAGTCCTAACAGTTTAATCACAGAGCACTGCGAGCATTTAACCTGAAAGATTGCACCTCCTTCCAATGATGCATAAATGGCCAGAGCCGGCTTTTAATCACGGGTCTCCAGTTCTGAAGCCAGAGCTCTAACCACTAAACCACCCCTGCTATATATATACTATATATATGCATCATTGGGAACGAAGAAACGTGATCGCCCTGGTTAAATGCTATTTCGTGGTGCTCTCTAATAAGACCGAAAGGACTTTTTAGAGCATCTAAAAAACCGAAAAAAAAAATTCTCAACTACATTGTGAATGGGTTTTTTATTTATTTTAAAAATATATTTATATTATTTATATATAAAGTTGTATTTTAGATAATACTTTAAAATAAGGTAATAAACAAGATAATAAACAGTTGTCAGAAAATTTTGAATATTTTATCATACATCCTAAAAATCAACGGCGTTGTTGATTTTTTAGTCGCTATTTAGATACTATTGATGCAGGAATAGCATCTAAAAACATAATGTGAATCAAAATAACACACAGCAAAATCCTAGATTTTTGTTTTAAGCAAAAAAAGTCTTAAAACAAGAAAAAAATGACTTGTCCGCCACGAAAGAATATTTTTTCTAGTTTCAAGAATTTTTATTCTTAAAATAAGAATTTTTTTTCTTGTTTCAAGAACTTTTTTTCTTAAATATTTTTTTTTTCTTGTTTCAAGAATTTTTATTCTTAAAACAAGAATTTTTTTTCTTGTTTTAAGAATTTTTATTCTTAATATAAGAATTTTTTTTCTTGTTTTAAGAATTTCTATTCTTAATTTTTTCTCGTGAATGAAAAGAATTTTCATTCTTAAAACAAGAACTTTTTTTCTTGTTTCAAGAACTTATGTTCTTAAAATTATGTATTTTTTTCTTGTTTCAAGAACTTATATTCCTTAAAAAAAATCATTTTTTACTTGTTTCAATGTTATTTTTATTTAAAATAAGATTCTATTTTTTTTTCAATAATATTTCCCCTGAACTATAAAACAATATTACAAAAGTACTTTTTTTATGGAAAAAATGAAACATTATTTTGAAATTAGAATGATATATAATAAGAATATTCAACAAACATTTATACATTTAAACAACAAATCTAATCGTTGAAATAATAAATTATTCTTTGGAATGTTTTATTATTGTTTATGCTTGTAGCGGCAATACTCCTCCTATGTCCAAAAAAAGTGTACTCCAATAAGTTCCATCACGAAGTCAGAAAATGAAAAACTTCATAAAATAATCTTTTGCCACACATAATAATCACTTCGTCTCCATCGTCTGTTACGTAGAGATAAGGATTTCTTATACCTGAAAATAAATTTTACAAACTCAAAATTTAACAATAATATCTTTTCATATCTTAAAATGTCGACAATTTATAACTCATTTTAGTTTTACTAATTTTGAGGGTTGTGTATGCATGCATACCTACCTGTATTTGGGTGGCAGTGGGCGAGGAACACTTGTGTATTCCCACTTGTGTATTCCCACTTGTGTATTCCTAAATGCAAAAGTGTATCAATGTCTTCATTCTTGCTGAGTCAACTGTGACAGAAGGCTTTAATACATGTGCCATGTAACCAACAGTCTGAATTAAATAATAATAATAAAAAAAGCATACAACTTTAAAAAGCAGAGAAAACTTATAGAATAACCCATTATAGGACATAGCAGTTTTGAAAATACCTTCTCATTTAAAAAAGCATTTGTGATTTTCAAACACTATTTCATTTTATCCAATAAATATATGAAATCACAATAGAAAAAAAAATTTTTTTTTACCAATAGCACATTAGGGAAACATTGATATTTCTCTAAAAATGCTGCAACTCTATCCACTCTCTCAATTTGAAATTTATTTACCGAGGTTAATAAATTAAAATTCTATACTTAGTTCAATTAAAATGCACCAGAACAAAGTTCTAGAGCATTTTAATTGATCATGTTATAAAAATAAGGATAAAAAATGTAAAAAATTAAAATTAATTAATAATACTAAATTTACTAACTGAAAAGTATTGCTTTCTTTACTTTACTTTGCATGTATTTGGAAACTTGCAATTGCTTAAAAGAAAACACACACATATATGTCATATATGTGTATGTATGCAACATAAACATGGGTATTTAGAAATAGTACTAATACTAATCTTAAGTAAAAACCAATTGTATAATAATAGCAATAACAATATTAAAACAATTATAACGAGGTAAGTAATGTTAACAATTATATTTATACTAATATAATAATAACAATAATAATAGTAACAATAATATTTATAAATATTAAATTTAATATTAAACAATAACAATAAGTAATAGTGATATGAATAGAAGTAAAATAACTTTGATATTTATATAATCATACCAAGAGCAATAATAATGACCCACAATGAGCCCAACATTTTAAGAACAGTAATTACATTTCTCCAAAATAAAAAGGCATAAAGACGAGTTTTAGTAGTAAAGTTTAGTGATATAAAGTGAGTATAAAAAATAAATTATTTTATGAATAAAAAATGATAAATTATTTCATGATTTTATGCATTGGTTTGTGATGAGATTTGTTATGCTGTACTTAACTGAACAATGATTTAGAATATATAATTTAAGGTTGCTAAATAAGGAAGATAATTTTGAGAATTTTTTATAGAAGTAAAGAAATTACAGATTGGAAGAGGTAGGGTAATTTGTGTGTGATTTGAGACAAATAGACAATTTAATAGATGAACAAGAGCACACAACTTGATTTTAAATAGAAAGAAAAGAATAATAGAATAAGAGTGATATTCTTGAAAGTAAATTAATTTAAATATCTTGTTTTTAGATTCGATATTCATAAAAAATTATTGGTTCATAAATTATAAGTATATATAATATATCATATTAGAGTGTTTGTAGTATGTTTGAGAAATAAAATTTATATTAATAGGTACGTGGACTAATTTTTTTAAATTGATCCAATACTAGAATGCTATATATCATTGGAAAGCCCTCAAATACAGTATTTTAAAGGTGAAAATATTATGAAAATTAGACAATTCTATAAAAAAATATAACATTTTTAGTAGCAACTTTTCAATATGTGGATTTCTTGATAAAACTGTGATCAAAAAAAAAAAAAATTTCTTTATAAATTATTATAACTTTGGCAATTCTTATTTAAATATCTATAACTTAGTATCAAAAGATAGATGTAAAAATGGGCTATAATTTCAAACTAGTTTCTAGGTAAAGGGCGCACTGAGAGATCCAGAAGGGGTGCTAATCCGCCATCTACACCTCACAAAAATACAATATTTTTTTTTAAATAGAGTGTTTTCTTTATAAAATTAGTAATATTTATATACAAAAAGTTATTATTTATTTATTCCATATCACTAGCAAATATTATAGGTTTATCTTAAAGTTGGGTGTTGGGTTTTGCGGAAGATTTAACACACCCAATCAAAATTTCATTCTTTTAATTATTACAATCTTTACTAAAATGATTAAATCTATTTTAAGAAACAAAAAAATATATTTCAACACTATAACAAAGAGTAACTAGTGGTGCATAGATTGCTTTGATGGAAGAGGGCGTATACCCCCCCCCCCTTCCTCTGCCATGAACCTGAAAAAATTTTTTTTATGAAAATTTCACACAAAAATGTTAAAATGTTTTTTTAAAAAACAGAGAGAAAAAATATTTTAACACATTACAAAATGCATCAGAGTAACCATTTTGTCATGAAAAAAGACGGATTACACACTCCAACCTAAAAAAAAATACACAAAAACAACAAGCCTTTTGAAATAAAAAAAGGTAGTATAGTATGTATAAATTGCCTTTATGCACCCCCTTTCAATAAGGCAATTTATACACCTAGAGGTGTATAATTTGTCTTTATAAAAAGAGGAGCAAGCTATCCCCCTCCTCTGTCGGAACCAAATTAAAAAATTTTAATTACAATTTAACAAAGAAGTCTTTAAATGTTTTTTTAAAGAAAAAGAAATTCGAATAAAAAACTATTTTACCGCATTACAAGATGCATCTGACTATACATTATCATGTAAAGGAACAGATTAAGCACTCCAACCTGAGAAAAAAACACAAAAAAAGAACAAATTTTTTGAAATAAAAAATGTTATTATTTCTTGTCTAAGCTTCTAGTAAATAATTTAATTTTTAAATTACATTAACGAAACCAAATGAATAACTTTTAACAATAGACACCACATAAAGGTAACCCAGAGCCAACTATCAATTTGCAAGCCGCAAAATTTGCGGTACCTACTTGCAAGCCACAAAACTTACTGTACCTTATTTGCAAGCAACAAAACTTGCGACACTTATTTTGCAAGTCATAAAATTTGCCGTACCTATTTGCAAGCCACAAAACTTCCAATACCTATTTGTAAGCTACAAAACTTGCTGTACCTTATTTGCAAGCAACAAAACTTGTGGTACTTATTTACTAGTCAAAAAACTTGTTGTACTTGTTTTCAAGCCACAAAACTTGCAAAATCTATTTGCAAGCCATAAAACCTGTGGCAGTTATTTTGCTGGTTACAAAACTTGTTATACTGTGAGCATTTTTACATTAACTTCATATTCCAATTAAGAAAATTTAAACTTCCCCGATATAACAACAGCAACTAGCTGGAGTTTTTAATCTTTTGACAGTTTAATATCAGTTCCATCTTGTTTCCAATAAGAAATAGTGTAAATTCTGCCTTGTTATTTCTTGTTTACTTTTTTCAACTCTACCATCATAAATGACAAAATAAAAACTTAAACAGAAAATTAACAATGAAAATATAAAAAAAATCTAATTACAAACAACAAACTAACACTTGGAATATTGCTACAAAGTTAAAGTAGTAAACAATAAATTATTAATTATTAATTTTTTATTAATTTAAAATTTATAATTCAAAATTATTAATATAAATAATATTGATAGTATAAAAGGTAAAATTATTATTAAGTATTATTAGTTAATAACAATTTTATCTTTTATACTGTTAATATTGCTTTAACATTATTAAAACACTTTAAAAACATAAACTTAATGATTAAGTTTTTGTTTTTAAAGTATTTAAAAAAAAAGTTATAACTGTTATTGACTATTAACATTAATTTATTGTGTACTACTTTATTTTCGTATTTAATAATTAACATGTTTAGATAATGGAATATATAAATTGTATACTACTACTTTATCTTTTAATTATTGTTTACAATAGCCTATTAAACAGGCTATTGTGATCAATAATTAAATGTATTTATTTTAAAATGATAATAAGATGATGATAATATATTTTAAAAACACTAACAAGGCTTTTGTTAGTAAAGTAAATGAGTGTAAAAATAAATAAGTGTAACATCACATAAAGTATGTGATCTTTACACTTATTTATGTATGGTGTTTTTTATAAAGTTGTCCACTGATACTTTGATCAAAGTATTCTCAATTGTAACTCAACTGAGTTAACAATTAATTCAAAAGCAACAGTTTTACTAAAGTTTAAGTCTTAAACGTTAAGAATTTAAAAAAGATTTTTAAATTTATCAACACAATTTAGTTTTAAAAATAATTATTACTTATACTTTTATTTAAAAAAAATATCTTACTACTCGGTGTAATTAAGGCGATTTACAAAATATTCGAATACTTTTATTTGGAATTAGCATGATTTTGTCAGCATATTATGTCCAAACAAGATCTTTAAATGCTATAATTTTTTTTGCTTAAGGTTTTTATAATATTTAAAGAAACTTTTCTTTTTTATATATAATTTTCAAAATCATTTTACTACCCGTAATAGTGTATCTAAAGAACACTATTTTGGATGCTTTAAATCAATTCCGCTCATCGGCATTAATATGAATTTAGTTGAAATCTTTTGAAAAAGTTTTTTAATTTACCACTGATCCTAGTTCTAATCGGTTCTGACGTATATTAACTATATATAGTTGTCAAAACACAATATTTCTATCAATTTTCATAAAAAATACTGGAACTCCGACCAAGAAAGAGCTTATATTTATGGAAAATTGCCAATAAACGATCAGAACAGATCATATTATTTAACTATAATGTTCATTTCACCTCAAAAAATTGTTAATATAAAATCTTATTTAAATTTGGACGAGCGATTATAATTTTAAGATGATTTAAAAAAAAAAAAAAAGAATCATCGGTCTGCATTTTTTCGCTACAAACATTTATATTTTATGATACCGCAAAATTTATCATTTTAAGTTTTTTCGTCTTTTCATAATTCACAGACCAGACCATTTAACGGAAAAATGTCGCAGTCAACAAAATATCATACAGACGCTCTATTATTTTAAAAGTGCCTTAACTACACCGAGTAGTTGTTACAGAGTCCAACAAAACTTCATTAATTTTTTCCGAATAAACATTCTCGCAATAACAATTGTTTTGCGAATGGCCTCCCTAGCTGCCCCGGTAATTTGCTATAACCAGAAAAACAGAACCAAAAATGTTACACTTAGTAAACTGCCTGCTCCCTTTTTTTTTTGTTTAAATTTGGTATTTACATAGAAAATGCATGTAGAAAATTGTTTAAATAATAAATAGAGCGGGATCAACTATAAGAACATCGTCTAAATTTTCATGCAAAATTTGAAGCAAAATAACTCATAAAGAAGTTTAGTTACCATACAAAAAAGTTATATAGAAATCACGCTTAACTACTCTTCTTTTAAAAACAAATCTTTATTTGCATATTTTTCTAAAAAGAAATACCACAAAAGTACGTTTTACTAAGACTACCGAAAAAATGCAGTATGCGTAGTAGAACCCTTTGAAACCTATCTGCTCCCTTTTTTTTCCGTTGAAATTTGATATGTGCATAGAAATTGCATGCAGAAATTTTTTGAATATTAAATAGACCGGGATCAATATTCCTTCGACTACATATTTATGTGAGAACATCAACCTATTTTTCAGAATTCAAACAATCCATAAAAAAATTCAGGAACCATACATAAAAGTAATATAAAGATTAATCTTTCTTCTTTCAAAAAAGTATCTATCTGTATATACATTTCTAAAAAAAAACTTGACAAAAATACGTTTGCCTAATGCTACCTAAAAAAAAGTTAAGAAAACGAGCCACAAAATTTTAGTACAATCGGTTCCGGAAATCGTGATTTCCGCGTACCTAATATTATAAGAGATTTGCTTTTTACTAATACAAACTATTTGACTTTAGAAAAATATATTTCTGGTTTAATACAATTTTATTGATGTTATTCCATTTATGAAAAAATTGGGTGCTAAGTTTGAATACAACAAACAACATTTGGTCCAAATACTCCATTCATCACGAGTTTAATAAATAAGTTGCAGCATTAATTTTTACAAAACCAAAATTAAAAAAAAGTTGCTATATAAAAAATCTAAGATCCGCAGTAGTGCTTCCAATATTGGTAGTACCGGTACCGGAATACCGGTATAACCGGAAATTTTTAAGTACCGAAATACCGGTATTGGTTTGGCTCAATACCGGTATTCTTTCTTTTTTTTCTTTTTTTTTAAGGTGCCCCAAGAAGTCCTTACGGTCTTATCACAGAGCACCTCGGAAAAGCATTTAATGGGAAGTTCACGACTCCTTCCCAACCAATGTCGCAAAACTTGCCCATTAAAAAGTATTAAAAATATATGTAGAGGGCTTATGATATAGCAGGTGCTATCGCCCTCTTTACGTGAAACACTAAAATAAATGAAATACTTAAAACTTTCAACAACGCTTCCGGTAGGAAAAAGATAGCTAGATGAGAAAAGACGTGTTTAAATTGTCTAAAACAAGTATTCTACGTACTTTATACTTGATATCTAGTTGCCAGCTCATTTCCCACTAGGTTTGGTAGGAAATGAGCTAGCAACTAGCCAGCGAACAGCTAGCTAGTCGCTACCTGTGGGTAAAAGACGCGTTTAAGACGTATAAAATACGTAGAATACTTGTTTTAGACAATTTAAACACGTCTTTTGTCATTTAGCTACCTTTTTCTTACCGGAAGCGTTGTTTGATCGTGACTGGAAGTTTTAAGTATTTCATTTACTTTCGTGTTTTCATTAAATAAGGAAGCACCAATTTAAAATATTATCATTACGTCACTCGCTTTAATGTAGAACGCCTGTTTGAATTTTGCACTAACGTAAATATGAAAAGTTTCGGTAATGTAGAAAGTGGGGCGTTTAAGTAACTGTGATCAACAGTTGTGCATTAGGCATGGGATTCAACTAGGTTTTCAAGATGTTTTGTACAAAAATTGTCAACTTCTGTAAAAAAAATTTGAAAGTAATATGCAATAACAGAGAAAGTGACGAAGAAATACTGATGACACAAACAAAACCAATAATGATGAAGACTTTTCCGGCGGGTTTCAAGTTGTAATGAGTAAAGAGAATGACTCTATTGAACTGACTGATGATCTGCAGCCGTTAATCATAAAAGGTTATTATTTTTCCGTTCTCCGACAAAAAATGATCAAAATTCAAAAACGCACGTTAAAAAAATTTGATAAAGATATTCCACTAATATTTGGATCCAAATCTAGCTGGATTAGCTTGCACACAGTACTCGAACGTTTGTATAACTAAAAAAATGCATTCACGAGTCACTTTTTACCCTTGAGTCCAAAATTGAGGTAACTAATAATGATTTCGATGCAATATTAGCTGTTAACTTATGTCTTGCGCCAGTAAAACTGGCTGTGGAAACATTGTGCCAAAATCATGCAATTCTGTTGTGTGCCGATACAACATTTTCATGATAGATAACCTTGGAGAAACCGATTTAGCTGTAAAGTTATGTTGGTGCAAAAATTCAATGAGCAACGTACTCTTTTTCCAGCATACAACATTTTTTGCACAAGGGACATCAACGTTACAAGAATTTGGATCTAGCTCTATCTTTTGAGCACCATAGCAAATTAGCCATTGTAAATACCATAACTCGACTGAAAGATCGGCTCAATCAGAAAGGATATAGTCCTCTCCCTTTCACCAGCGTTTTTTCCGATAGTGATTCTGTGAACAACGCTGTAAACTTGTCAATAAAAAAAGCTTGACTTTGCAATTTTGAAAAATAAGAAATATAACAACAAGGGAAAATTGAATGTTTCGAATAATTCATCAAAAATTATATGTATTGAAATAGGAATTTTTGAAGAAGGAGGAAATCGTTGAATATATTTGCAAAATTCCTACCATTACTTGAAAACTAAGAAGCCAACAAAATTAGAGTATCTTTTGAAGATGATGTTCTGAACGCCCTATGTTTTTTACGGGCTCATTTTACTAAGCAGAAAAAAGCGAAAATTGAAAAAGTCAGTAGTTTTGATATAAAACAAATAAGCTGATTGAATCCATAAAGTTTTTACTATTAACTTGAGATTTTATTTAGATTATGATGAATTTAAAAATAAAGTTTAATACCGGTATTATACCGGTATTACCGGTATTGTAATTATTTAGTACCGATGGACCGGTATTGAAAAATGGTATCGGTATTGGAAGCACTAATCCGCAGCCATTTTAAAATATCTGAAATTTTTTATGAACTTTTTGAACATGCGCTCATAAACATAACGCTGTAGGTTTTTAAGATTTTGGGACCCTTATGACAGTTTAGGGGGGTGAGGGGTAGGCGGAAGGGGCAGAGTTTTTAGCCACACAAAAACTCCTTGATCCGTTGCTCGGCAGTTTATTCATTTTTATTAAATTCATTTATTATAAAGAAGTGCACAACTTTGGAGCACTTCAAACCAAATCGCTCTTATGCATTCTTGCACCTTACATTTATATTATTCTGCTACTACGTCGCCCATACAAAAGACTTACTTTTATGCTGTTTAGATTTATGCAGATTTGCAGATATGAATATTGC